TAAGCACATTACATGTATTAGCTTGTTTAATACACTTAGTTCTACCTAGGAGGCAAGTGCTATTATTATCCCCATCATACAGATGAGGCGCAGAATGATTAAGTACCTGGTCCAAGGTCGCCCAACTAATCAGCTAGTCAATCAGCTAGCTAGGATTCAACCCAAGCAGTCAGCTTAAAATTCTATACTATTCAGACTGTACCTGAGACTACTACTAATACCACATGAAAACATCTTTGCGGAAGAAGAAAACCTGCCTATGCTGAGTCACAAAAGACAACAGACCTTGACATTTCCCCTTCAGTTCACCCTAGCATGGACATCACCTACCACCCTACAATCTAGGATATGTTCAACTTGTGGGGTGCAAACTGCTAAATTGAAATTCCACTGGTGGAGGGATCTAAGTATGGTTTGCTCTTTCTGCCTGCTTCTCCTTTTGGACATTCTTTCTTGTCTGTCAGTTCTGGGGGTGTTGCTACCAATAACTGGGCACCACTAACCTGGTGAATTTTTTCAATAGTCATTCATTCAAAAAATATTTGAGGGCCGGCCCGTGGCTCACTCAGGAGAGTGTGGTGCTGATAACACCAAGGCCCCGGGTNGAACCCGTGGCCTTGGTGTTATCAGCACCGCACTCTCCCAAGGGAGCCACAGGCCGGCCCTCTAAAATAAATTTTCACTTTTCTCCACTTTCTTCCCATCTTTATCCACCTACATTCAAAAACCACTTCTTAACTATTTCTGGGCACTGTGCTAGGCACTGGGAATACAAAAATTAATACTATAAAACCAAAAAACAAACAAAATGCTACAGTCTGTCCCTAGATGCTCAGATTAGGAAGAGAGAGATACTTATAAACAATTACAATAGAAAGTGATAAGAATTATTTCAAACTGTTACCACTGTTTTTGCATAGTAATCATCAGGTGTGGTCAGTTTTTGTTCTGCTTTTAGAATATACCTGTTTGGGGCTGGCCTGTTAGCTCACTTGGGAGAGTGGTGCTGGTTACACCAAGATCATGGGTTCAGATCCCTGTCCTGGCCAGCCGCAAAAAAAAAAAAGAAAATCAAATGCAGATTTTTGTCCCCACTCTCACTCACTCACTGAGAGATCTGCTCACCATTTTAAGCTAAGGAGGTAAAGGCCCAGGGAGAGAATGAATAATAATAATGTAAAACTCTTAGGGCCGCCCCGTGGCTCACTTGGGAGAGTGTGGTGCTGACAACACTAAGTCAAGGGTTAAGATTGGGCCGGCCCGTGGCTCACTCGGTAGAGTGCGGTGCTGATAACACCAAGGCCACGGG